TGTCCATTTATCCGCCTAAATTAAAAAACAATCCTCCGCTGCTGCTGTTGTCGTCGTCTTTCCAGGGGGACAGCATTTGCAATGGGACGCACAGCAAAAAGGCGCTACTGTCAGACCCTCAGCTGTTTGAAGCCCAGTTCGAGGAGTTGGTGACGGAGCTGGCGGAGCAGGATATCACCGACCCTGCGCTGACTGATGCTCTGAACAGGCTGAAAGAGGTAACGCTGTCTTAATCTGTTGCTGATTTGTCTTTTAACAAGGACCGTGGTGCTTCATAATCGATCCCATTCATGCCGTAGGTGTTGGTGTACAATTCCCCCGGAGGCAAGAGGAACAGAGGCCTGTCTGTGATTGGTTCACTGAGGGAGCTTCTCCCACCCACTCAGCTCACACAGGGCACCGTGCAGAGGGCCCTCATGGTTGGCTGGTGTATAGAGTTGGTAAGGACATATTGCTTTATTCCACATATTTCCTAATAGTCAATGTGGTGGCAATCTAACAACAAAAAGTGCCACTGGAGGGGAATTTTCCAACTCATGGTGGGTTAAAAAAAAAAATATGTTTGCAGTATTTAATTTATCAGCATTCTTAAAAACACCAACAAAAAGACGGGTGTAGGCCTATTCTGCATCAGACGAAACAAGCTCATAAACATAGATAAAGTCTAAACGCGCCTGACAAAATCTTCACACACTTAGGGTTGAAAAACTGTGTGGCTTCTACTAATTCCCTCCAGTGGCACTTTTTGTTGTTAGATTGCCACTACATTTACGTTTTGTTGAAAAACTGTGTGGCTTCCACTAATTCCCTATCCCCATTCACCTGTGTCTCCCCTTTCTACTGACCTGTGGCTGTAATTACCAACTATACCCAGGTGCGCAGGTGACGTTTGCAGCAGAAAACGTCCACACAACCAACCACACACACAAACCACGACACACATTGAAATTGGCGACAACAGTCACCAAATACCATCAAAAGTTTTTTTTTTTAAACGGGGTTTGCCAGTGTAGCTGAAGCAGCACATGCATTTATATCAAGACATTAATAACTCTCCATTAAATCCATATTCTTTCCCCCTTACTTTAAAGAAATGTAATGCATTTATCAACAATGCGGTACATCTGTGACCACTGAGGCTTTGATTGTGGACAGGATAGCAAGGCAACAAACCCCTGAGTAACAGATTAATACATTGTTGGCTGTGGTCTTTCAAATGAATTTGTTGATGAGGAAAATAATAATATATCGGCTTTTTCTTACAAATTAAGTTTGTGGATATTTGACTATCTTTGACACTTAGCCTTCATCTCACAGACTCAGACTGACTGTGGTAGTGCCACTTTGCAGAGAAGGTACATTCTTGAAGTGATCTTTGTTTTAACTTTGACCCTGTTGTTTGCAGCTTCAGGCATTTTTCCTCGTGGCAGATGATATCATGGACGCATCTGTGACACGCAGAGGGCAGCCCTGCTGGTACAAGAAGGTGGGACTTGTAATGTAACAGAACAAATAAAAACTCACATTTTTGTATCGTAACTTTCTGATGAAAAAATGTTTTTCACCGCAGCATGTCATCAGTTTCTCATGTTTTCTTTCTTTCTCTGCGTTTTAAAGGACGGGATAGGTCTTGATGCCATCAATGACTCATTTCTCCTCGAAGGGTCAATCTACAGACTTCTTCGCAGACATTGCAGGGATCAGCCGTACTATGTCCACCTACTGGAGCTGTTTACTGAGGTATTACAGGTCCTGATAGATCACACATCCACAAACAAAAGAAAACAGGATCCTCACAGCAGCTCTGTTTATTTCAGACATCTTTCCAGACAGAGCTCGGCCAAGCTCTGGACCTTATGACAGCTCCTCCTGGTCAGATTGACCTGAACAGATTCACCATGGAGAGGTGGGGAAGATAAATCTGTAAATTAAATTTGCATTGAAGGATGTTAACAAAGCAAGGGGTGTAATTTTTCCTCCTCTTGTCTTCCAGGTATAGAGCTATTGTTAAATACAAAACTGCCTTTTACTCATTTTACCTCCCAGTGGCAGCTGCAATGTACATGGTGAGTGGTTTTAAAATGTTTCACCCATGACAGAAGGATCTAATAGGCATGACTGGGATGAGATAACGTTGGAAGTTTACGAGAACTTGTCTGAAAATAAGCTTTGTACCTCACTTTTATAGGCTGGAATCAAGAGTGAAGAGGAACACAATAACGCAAAACACATCTTGCTTGAGATGGGAGAGTTCTTTCAAATTCAGGTAATGTATTTTTATGTCATCCTGTTGCTAAGGCACATAATAAATAATATGCCGCCGACTTCACAGAGTTAATAACAACCAGATGCATGTTGCTTGCAGGATGACTATCTGGACTGTTATGGAGACCCCGCTGTGACAGGAAAGATCGGTACAGACATCCAGGATAACAAATGTAGCTGGCTGGTTGTGAAAGCTCTGGAAGTTATGAACCCTGAACAGAGAGCAGAGCTGGAGGTGAGACTTTATATGACAACCCTTTTGTTATTTGAACACATATGAACTTGTGTTTCTTGGCCACAAACATGCCCAGATCTTCTGTTTTGCACTTGAATGTACAAGTTTCCATCACAGCTTCCTTGCATTTCTCTAAAAACTTTGTTGACAACCAGGCTTTTCTCTAGATCATACTCCCTCCCTCGCAATTGGCATAAAGAAAAGTGCGATCATCACTTTAAATGCAGGAATAGCTCACTGACATATAGAAATAATTGTGTGGACTTTTCAAATTATTGTTCATGGTTATACATTATGACAAGAGAAATGCAGCTGTGAATTTCTTTTCATACCATCATTTAAAAAAAATTGTTATTGTTCAAGAAGTTTATTAGAATGAGATGCAGGAAGTGTCATTTTGTCACAGATATTTCATACTCTGTATATTTTCTTTAGCTAAGACATCATTCAATTAAGACACAAAGTCCCTGGCGATGCAGGACTGAATTCATTTTGATAATTTGTTTCTTAATAATAGGTTTCCTTCTACTCTTCAGTGTGTGTTATGCCGAGGTACTTTATTTGGTGCAAAACTTGATTTCATCTTCATCATCTCCTCCTCAGACATGTTACGGACGTCATGATGATGCAAGTGTTCAAAAGGTCAAAGCGCTCTACGACACACTGGAGATGCCAACACTGTACAACAAATATGAAGATCAGAGCTACCAGCGGCTACAGGAACTAATCGCATGTCACGCTCGAAATCTCCCTCACTCTGTCTTCCTCAACTTCGCCAAGAAGATCTACAAAAGGAACAAGTGAGAGGGAATGGATCCATTAACACTGTAAGGTGCATGAGCCAGGTTATCATGCAACTCCAATTATGGCATAAAGCGTGACTCCTTTCCTTTTCCAGAGAACAGGCTCTGAGGCCCACGAGCATGAGCTGAAGAGGACTGTGATGTGTAAAAAATCTGCTGGAAGTTTATGAACTGCATTGATTTTGTAGATATTTGGTTGTAAATTACTTAAAGCTGCCCCTTTCTTTTGCCTCATTTTGTTGCTTTATTTAAGAATAACATTGCAATGAATCATGGACAGGCTAAGCTTTCAATTGCAGGATTAAGGTATATGTCAAATAAGGTTAGATGGCCAGAGTAGTTTTGAATATGTAGAAAAAGAGATCATTGTTTAGGTGTTCAGATGAAAACTGAATTCATGACAGTTTGTATCCTGACCAAGAAAAAGGGTCAAAACTGATCCGCTCTATAGTTTTATATATTTTTACATGGCTGCTGTAAAGTCTGTACTGGCTTGGATGTTATGTTTTTAATAAATAATATATAGACAGTATTTTTCTCATATTTTTTTTTTAGTAGTTTGTAAAGCAAAAGCAATTCTCTGATTTAAAGTAAACTGTTTATAATTGGTCAAATGTTTCATTCATTCACTCAAATACTGACGTTTGCGCTTGTTGAAATGTGAGGATTTGGTGAATTAGGTTGTCATGGATGTAAAATATTTGGTTTGGGAAATATTGGCCAGTGGAGAAAAAACAAGCAACTTCATATCAACTTTGATCTGGGAAATTCTGAAACTTTTATTAAATTTAAGTAAATCATCCTGTTATTCAGATTATTTTCCACCATGAGCAGTCGCAGAGAATGTATTCAGATAATTTAATTATTGGTAATAAGACACTCTAAGTATTCACTGTTACAAGAAATTGAAAATCATACATTGAATATGGTACATGCCCTCTGTAATTGTTAAGACTATTTTATATCATATTTTAAAGATATGATGTTTATTGTTAGATTTTCTTTTCAACATTTTTTATAGGAGGACATTTTTTGAGTGGTTTCATGTGCTTACATCAAAAAAAAAAAATCTGCAAATAGGTGGAAACATTGTCACAAGTTACACATTCACAATGACTTAAGTTTTTCCAGTCCACCGTCCAAACCTCAAAATAATTGAAAATATATAAACCAAAATTATTAAAAGGTAAAAGCAGAAAATAGTCACTTTTGAGAAGATGGAACCATGAATTAATTAATTTAGCTTTGAATAAAAATAATGAAAACAGATTTGATAATGGACACAACCAGACAATCAAGATATTGATGACTATTGATTACTATACATGATGTGTTTGTGAACAGTTGGAGAATAATTTGATATGAAAACCGATCTTTTCATGTCATGAGTAACTTTTGTGACCCAAGCTGTCAAATAAAAAAGTGCAAAGGAAAAAAATACTGCAATTTAAGGTACTTTGTAGTTTTATTGAATTGAAGACAAAACAAATAAACGCATGAATGAATTTCACACACACTGATTTCAGATATATATTTTAAAGACTGTTTCTTCTAACGCAGGCATTAAGACTCGTCATTTGAATCATGAAAGCTGAATTGTATTTTAAAATAAGGCAAACAAGGGGTGTGGTTTGGTGCTGGTAATGGGGAGGGGGATTCTGATGCTCGCGCGAGAAGACAGATGCTGATGCTGTTAACGCCGTTCAGAGATTCACATTCACTCGGACTGGGATGTGAGAAGCTCGGTGAGATGGAGACCTTCATCCATCTTAACCCCAATCTGATGGTGAGTCGAGTCTTTGGACATTTTCTGAAGATATTTGATTTGATATGTTTTTAAATGCGCGTGCAGGGCTCTTGTCTGGTAAACTGAACCGTGTGATTCACACACGGAGGCTGCGGACATCAAGAAACATACAAACCTTCTGTTACCAGTGATATCTCTGGAATCGTTTTGTGCAGAATTCCCCATTATTGTCTATTTTATATCTGTGTCGTATTATGATGTGTGATCATCTATTTATAATAGGGTTGGATGGGCCTATATGGCAGGACGATGCGGTTCGAGGTACCCCCCTCTCCTCTCTCCCCCCCCCCCTCCTCCTTCTCCTCCTCTCCTCCCTGTCTCCATCAGCTCTGTGGGATCAATATATGCAGGGGAATACACTGTGCACAGGACGGGTTAAATTACATATGACGACAGCCTGTTTCTTATGTTATTTTATAGCTATGTTGGCTTTTATGGTTATTATTCCAAACAAAAGGCGTAAGCAGACAACTGAGTGTTAAATATTCCTCAGTGATGTGAAGGGCACTGTGGAGGAATATATGAGCAATAGCCCTCGGTATATGATCTTAAAAAGGCACTGTTCATTGCTGCTGCATGATTATTTCATGCTCTAGTTAAAGTGTCGTTATGTTCATGTTTTGCTCCAGGTACTGTGTTTCTTTATAGACTTGTCTTTTCATGTAAATGGTTCGGCCTCTTGTCACCTTCTAAGGATGGACTGGTACAGATGGAGACAGTTTGACTACAGTAAACTCATGAATATCAGAGCTCTGTGAGGCTGAACATAACAGATTCAGATGATGAGTGACAGTTATTAGGCTATAAATTAGCTGACAATTATTATCATAGGAACCATTTCATGTGATATCTGTGTGGGTGTGTGTGTTTTGAATTTCAATAGAAAGATAACAAAGCTGAGCACCATGCAAATAAGACAGACGATAAGACAGTGTAGACACACACCTGCAGAAGACCTGCACACCAATGTGTCACATCTGTTGTGTACATTTGACATTTTTTTGTAAACAGATTTCTGTTGTGCCCCGAACGTTTCCAAAAAATATGTTTTATAATCTGATAATACAAAGAATTCTGTGGTTCATTTTTAACCGATTTGCCAAATACTTTAAGAAGTAGATTGTCTATACCATGTCAGACTAAAAAGTAAAAAAAAAACATCTCTGTATCCCAAAATAACAACTCCATGTCTTGGTTTTTATGAGAGTCCAAACTTATAATATGTTCAGTTAACTATAATACATACCTTAAAGAAGCAAGTGATTTCAGAGGCTAGAGCTGATAAATATTATTCATTAAATCATTTATTCACTGAGAGTTTGCTTGTTCATTTTCTGTTAATTTATGAATTGACGAAATAATGATGCAGTATCTTTCTTAAATAAAATAAATAAAATAAAATAGGACTCAGTGTGTGAGCCAGTGTGTGTGTCCTTATCTCTGCTTTCTCCTCCCAGGACGTTGGCTGTGATAATTATAACAGAGAAAGCCCAAAGCAAAGAGACTAAATGAACGGTCCAGATGAAGGATTTAACTTCAAAGACATAGCCTAAAATGGCACATGCAGAGCAGGAAAACCGTCTTTGAAGAGCAGAATTTTGTCATAGTCGTTATTCACCATGTTTCTCCTTTTATGTTACAGCGTCTCGGATCCAGGCCAAGATGTGATCGTCACGACGCGTCACAGTTTGGATCTGTCCAGCCTTTACAACACTTGTTTCTATAGCAACATAAATATCATAGCATCCTTAAAACAATGCAGTCCTCCTCTCAGCCTCTAAAGCCACGGCGCTTTGACGCCAGCAGACGGACCGCTGCTTCAGCAGGACCAAAGGCTCACGGCGCTGCTTTTCAGAGGGAGGATAAAAACATGAACACAATTACCACACCCTCCCCACGCCGTGCAACCAAAGGCCCCAGTGTACCCACCAGGACCAGGGTTGCAGTGCAGCCCCGAGCACCAATAAGCCAAAACAGGTTTAGCACACAAAAAGCAAGTTCCACCATCTCCAAAACAGCCAAACCCAAACCTAAGAGTGCTCGTACATCTGCAGTGACTAAGATTGCGCCGAAAGCCGCACCTCCACCGCTCCCCTCCGTCCTCCCTCTTGACCCGAACTGCAACGAACCAAGCCTTCCGTGTCTGTGTTGCGATGGACGCTCGCCGCAGGATAACAACAGCATGTTCAACCATAACCACAACAACAACAACACCATTTCTATCAGGCAGCAACTGCAGCTACCACCTCCTCCACCAGCAATATTGCCCCAGAGGCATGATGGGAAAGGAGCCAAGGAGCAGTCACAGCCTGCCTCAGAAGCACACGCCAAGATGGAGCCCTCTGCCTGCCCTACCGGTCTGGAAAATGAAGGGAAAAACACAGATGAATGCGCCAACCTCATCAACAAGAAGCACGTAAAAGTTGAGGAAGACGATGACGAGGAAGAAAGCAGCGGGGATATTGATATTGACGATGATGACGAGGCCGACAATGATGACGACGACGACGATGATGATGATGACACTCTGGTACCATCATGCTGTGACTGTCCTCCCTCCCTTTTGGAGTTTTCTCTCTATCCTCTTCTACCTCGTCGTCCTCCACTTCAATCAGCTCTTGCTCTGATCTGGAGTCTGACTGTGCAGATCAATCCGCCTCCATCTGCTCTTCTCACGACCAAGATGATCTATCCATGGCTCTGTCCCCTAAGGCCCAATCTCTTTCACAAGCACTTGAATGCCAGCCCCATTGCGTTCGCCCCCATCCCTCCCTCTTAGCAATCCTTTCTCCCTAACGTCACATTCCCGAAATTCTCCTTGCTCCCCAGATGAGGGCTACCCCTCCGCCCTGGACTCCCCTTCTCCTGACTACCTCGGTGTCAAAGGTGACTCTGAGGTTGCAAAACTAGGCTTGCTTGACTTTCTCGAGTCAGTTGGTGAGTTTGGTAAAAATGGAGCGCTTCAGCCAGGTGATCCAAGTGGCTCGCTGGGATCTGGAGGGGGAGCAACACTGGGATGTTCTGAGGGATCGACTGGATCACCTGGATCGCTTGGAGAAGGTGAATAGGGAAGTGAAACTGGCTTATATTGCCAGGCTCCACGAGAAGGGATTTGATCTGGGAGATCTGGAGGAGCAGGATCTATCAGATGTAATGGATGAAATGGGAAACATCGACATTCCCTGGAAGTTGTATAAAAGTCGAGGTGTGATGGGAGAGTCTCAGGAATTCTCAGATGCAGGGGTTGACCTCACCGCTCCCTCAGATTGCGAGGATCCTCTTGCTCCTGATTCCCTCACCCCTTCCCCGGTTGAGCCGCCACCTCGACCCCCTAAACCCCCGGTTCGTCATGCTAGTGTAAGCTCTGACCTCCATACCTACATCAACATCAGCAGGGAGACCACCTCCATGGCTGTTTCTACATCCCCTACTATGACTACCTTCTCCCCCAACTCTTCCTCCCCAACATTCACCACTTTTAGGTGTGAGAAACCCCTACCACCATCTCCACCCTCCATTCCTCCCCTCCCCACCTCGAAACCAGTCCCTTACCTTACCCTCTATACCACTCCTTCTCCACCTCCAGCTATTCCCACCCCAACCCCTCCTATCCCCCCTCCTCGAAAGCGTCACCTTGCCAGAAAGGAGGCCCAGCGAATCGCCGCTCTTCAAGCGAAACAGGAAAAGACGCCCTTTTCCCTTCCTCCTCCTACCACACGACCCCCACCTCTGCCTCCTCCCCCTGTTATCTCAGTGTCCTCCTCCTCTCCCCCTGCCATACCACCTCCACCCGCCTTGCCTCCTCCCCCATCCTTCCACACACTGGATGTAGAAATTCGGAAGCTGCTGATGCTTGCCGGGTTGACTCAAGCTGAGCTCCTCAAACTCAGCCCCGAGCTCGGAGTTTGTGTTGGAGGCCTGGAGGATGAGGGAGAAGGAAATAATCCTTTCTCGTCCAGGTCTGTTGAGGCGCACGAGTTCAGACTAAAAGAGCAGGAGGAGGAGGAGAAGGAATGTGACACAGAAATGTTAGCCAGAGATACATGGAGCAGCAGAGGCAAGTTGATCGGCGATGGCCGAGCAGATGTAGCTGAAGAAGGCAGAAAGACAGAGGAAAACAAGGATTTACAAAAAACCACCTCATTCACTGAGATGGCAAGGAGGAGAAAAAGGAACAACGGTGTGACCTCCGACCATTACTACAGCACCAACCTTAGCAATACGCATGAGACTAAAACAAACAAAATGAACTATGAATCTTTCCAATTTCATACAGTGTTTCCAGATTCACCGCCCCCTCCTCCTCCTCCTCGTCCCTTACCCCCCATTCCCTCGTCTCATCCACCCCTCAAAGTCAGCACTCTCTCCGCCAATTCTGCCCAACCTGAGAGATTTGATTGGCTCATAGCATTCACACCTGAATGCGAAGGCTCCCTTAAGACTCGTACCCTGGAAATGAGAAAATCTCCTATGGAAGCTCCCAAGAAGCTCACTTCATCAGGGTCGTCTACAGGGGTACCTCCCAAGACCACAACTTTTAAAGAGCTGCGCTACCGTAACAAGAGCGCCTCCCCTCCAACAAAGGTGATTACTGACCCAGATCCGGATCCAACAGTTATCACACCAGATGCAGATATACTCTACAACCTGAGGTGGAGAAGAGAGAAGGAAGGAAGCGATGGCCAACACTGGGAGTACACCTCTCAGGCTCAGGCCTTCTTCATGCAGCCGCCGCCGGCCCTCACCTCCATGGCCGCTCTGAAGGAGATGCTCCAGAGAGCGGACAAGGAGGGGGGACAACTGGAGCTGTGCCCATCTCAGAAGATTGGCTGCTCCATCAGTGACAGCAGCCTGTGGACCATTGGCAGAGAGTGGGAGTGTGAACATGATAAAAGTGAGGAAAAGGAAGGCAAAGAAGAGGAAGAGAAGAAGGTGGAGGTGAAGCTGGAGGTGAGAGGACGAGCCGACGGAGGAAGGACTTTCGAGTCAAGAACTTCAGGTGAGTATGAAACCTGACGTGGCTGTCATTGAATATGAAGTAGGAAGGTGAATTTGATGACATATGGGAAGAAATCTGCATGTGTGTATATATACATCTTTGTGTTTGTATAGAAAAAATCATCATAGCAAAGTAGAGCTGTATCAGTAATGATACAAGTATGAGGTATCAGCGAGTATGCCAGTTAATTTACCAATCAGATAGCTGAACTAATTAGGCTCCAAAAACTTACTGGTTTGAGATAAATTATGAGGAGTGACATTAACAAACAACAACAGTGCGATGCTAACAGAGAGTGTAAAATTAGTCAAAACTTAGCGCTTTTGCACTAAGGGTACGTTTGTTTTTAGCGCAGTAGTATCTGGGGTAGGGGTATCACTTACTCGTTTAGGTATCAGAATTGGTATTGAGATCCAGAAGGAATAAATGGCATCATATCTTCACATCTACAGCAAAGTAGCAAAGTGTAATTTAAAAGACACAGCAACTCTGGGATGGCAGAGGATGGAGAGACAGGCAGCTCAAACGACAACCAGTCAGCTTGTTAAGTTTTTTTCAGGGATGCACAAATTATATTTTCGAACAGTACAAAAGACAGAGACAGAAACCAAGGGAGGTGAAATGTTGACTCACTTATGGATGATGATGATGATGTATGTAACAACAGAGAAGAGATGTGGGACGAGCCTGAGTCAGAGAGGGATGATGCATGATATGACAGATAAATGAAAACAGGGAGGGGAAACAGGGAAGCTGGAGTTGGAACACGAGCAACAGCGAGAAGATGGAGGGAGAAAGCAAGTGAAGGGAGTGAGGGTAATATGAGGAGAAGTAGGAGGTTGGAAAGTTTCCAGCCAGTATTTCCTGCACTGGTTGTCAGAGTGTGATGTCATCACTGCCTTATTCAATTATTCATCCACTCTTCAGACCAACGGGAGGGGGGTAACGGAGTGCCCACTGAGCTCACAACCTTTCTCTCCCTCCTCTCCACCACTAACTCTCAGCTTTACTGTCTTCTTGTTTATTTCTTGCTAAATGTCCTTAAATATCTACATATTATCTTTCTCTCCACTAGCTGTAAGTTCAAGTCAAAGTAGGATGTTTGGATTCTTTTCGATTGATGTCTATCCTCTCTCCCCAATACCCTCCACCCTTGCTCCCTAGAGTGGCACAGATAGCTAAGATCAAGTTACTCATCTAATACAGAGCTGCAGTAGGCTCCATAGACATCAAGGGTTCAAGTGCTGATGCCTAGTTACCGTAAGGTATATGTTTAAATCAAGCTGCTCATGTTCTTTCAGAACCAAATGCTTTCTCATTTTATTGGTACAAATACTTTCGAAAGATGTACAACAAGCTGCTACACTTGTGAAACATTACAGTTTGCATAAAAGATGGCAGCCCAACTTGATCCACATAAAAAAACACCAAATAATTAATTTCTTGTGTAAGAATAAGAAATGAAAACTGTAAAAAGAATAAAAAGACAAAAATCAATGAATAAAAATCATGAAAAAAACAAAAACAAACTAAATTGATGAAGCTAGTGTAGAGCATGTGAGATGATAAAGTTTAGACATTACTTCCAAATGAAAATCAGATGATAGAAAAAAATGTATCTTTATTTTTAAACTTTAAGAGAGAGCTTGTCATACTTCTGTGGGATGCATTAAAAACATTCAATGAGAAGCAGTGAAGGACCTTAGTGATCCAGCTTGAACATAAATCAAATGAAGCTCTCTGATGATTGGGGCATTTAAAACTGTTTTAAAAAAGAAATAACTTGCTTAATCAATCCTTTAAAAACGCCTGGTGGATACGAGTCCCATTACTTCAGTATTATCCCGTTACTTACATTTGCTTTCTGTTTCCCACATTTAAATGAATTACAAAGTAACTATACAGTATGCTGAAGGGAACAAGCTAGGAACAAAAGGTGTGTACACCTTTAAGAACCCAAGGGGTGGATCCTAATAAATGAACCAATTGCTGAGAGCTGTGTCAGAAAAAATAGGAAGTATCATGTGGTGGTTCCTGTTCAAAGACAGCTCAAGTCTAGCTAAGGTATGGTTACATTTAGCTCATTTTTGTAGCCCATAGCCTAGCAGTCTGTCTCAAGTAGGTCAGTGTAAAGAAAATAACGTCCTCACAGAGTTTTCAGCTTCACAGAGACTGACACAGTGATTTAGCAGAAGCGAACTGAAGTCTGTACAGTATCTCTCTTATCTGTTGACTGACTCAGCATTATACTGTATGTGCTGTCCTGGTGGAGAGCGGAGAGAGGTAGAGAGAGGTAGAGAGAGGTAGAAACAAAGGCAGAGAAGAGAAAGAGAGAAGGTGATCCAGAGGTGATGATGGCATGCACTGCAGTAGTACAAAAAAAAAGATTGGAACTCACTGTACAGTCTCAGACTTTATATTCATAGCTTTTAGGACAAGTTGGAAGTTAAAGTGAAACCAGATGCCATAAAGAAAACTCTGATTTCTAATATGATTAATCTTTGGGATTGATGGTGGCATTTTAATTACAGAGTCACTGGTGAATGAGAGGCTGATTGACAGAGTAATCATTTCAACTGCGTCTATTCGACTGCTGAACGGTGGTGTTTTATGGCAACGGTATCATTTCCTGTTGTGTCAGACCCTCCTAAATAAAACAAACTGCAGTTATTACTCTTCATAAATCAGCTCCATTGACTCATACACTGTCTGTGTAACTGTCAATCAACTGTTTTGACTTGTTTAAATGATGCATTTCTGCATGATATTACATGTTAACAATCTCTGCTGGAGTACATTCATGAATGTGCATTTTTCTCTCGACAGACTCTAACATATTCTGCATTTCTTTCTCCTTCCCATTTCGTTGCCACATTTTTATTTTATTTTTTGCTTTAATATTCCTTGTTTTTCTCACCTTTCCATCCCATTCTGTTGTTTCCACCTGTTTGTTCTCTTTTCTCCCATATATCACTTTGCTTATGTGCCCCCCCCCCACCCCCCTGCCCCTCTGACTCCTGCACCTTAAAATGTCTTTCCTTTTTTTTTTGAAAACTTTCCAAAAAGCAGTTTCCTCCCCCCCACTGTCCCTCACCCAGTCCTCCCAACCCTACTTCCTCCACGCAACCCTCCCTCCCTTTCGCCCCGGCTACTGTAACTCCCAGCCCTTTGCAGATCCCCGACCCAACAGACATGCAGGCAGGGAGTCCAGAGACAAACACAGCAACACACAACGGGGCCCGGCTGACAGCTCAGCTTGTGTCCACGGGGATGTTCCAACTCTAATATAAGCTCTGGGTTTAGCTATGAATCCCTGGCTGATTTAGGTGTAGACTCTCCCGGTGATGATGGGGATTTCATTAACACTTGCAAGGACTTTGAGTCCGACTCGATCTGTAATTTTGACTCTCTCTACTGCAGTGAATCAGACATACACACTAAGTCAAAAACAAATGTTTGTGGAACCGGAGACACTCCGGGTTGCACCACCCCTTACAAGAACATTGATGTCATGATGACCTATTCTAACAGCATCAGCACCATGGACTCACTGTACTCAGAAAAACGCACACACCCGCTCAGGGACAAGGAAAGAACATCTAAAGAGCTTCCTCCTCTTCCAACATATTACCTTTACCACCCTAAAAACTGCCCCCTGCACAGGGGTGCCCCGCCCCGCCTCTCTCCTATCGGAGCCCTCTCCCCTCCTCTGCGCTCAGGAGTGCCCCCACCTGGTGCAGCAGGCTACAGCCTCAGCTCCCCGCTTTTCCCTCGCTCTCACACCTTGCCTGCCCTCGCTGCTCCCCTCTACTATCCAAACCTCTACCCCCCTATCCCACCCAGGGCGCCCCCCTTACCCCCAAAACTCTACCAGGCTCCTCCGCAGTCAAGTGTGGCGAGTAAGATTTCTCTCTCCCTACATTTTACTCTCGCTCTCTCGTTTTCTCAGTCATCTTGCTTGCATGTACATCTTGTCTGTCTCTCTTCTGTATTCTCTTCTGTGGATATGGTGGCCTTCACACTTCTGTCACCTCCTCAATCCAGCTAGTTTGCAGATTTGAAAGAACTCTGTAACTGTAGATGTGTTATGCATCAGGAGTCAGCTCTCTGCCGGTAGCCTGATACATCTTATCTACAGGGTGCTTTCATATCTGCAAAGGGCCCATGGGTGGGTAACAGCTGCTCCTGTCAGAGGGTGTCACGAGTCACTCTCATCGCTCTCTTTGTCTTCTTCCGTCTGTCTGTCCGTCTTTGTGTCAATCCCCCTGTTGTTTTTGTTTTTGCACGACGTGGTAAAATGGACACATGCATTTCATGCCAGGCAGGCACAGCCCAAAAAAAAGAAGCTTGTTGATAATGCAGTGTAGGGAATTTTTATTTGGGTTAACCTTTTTTTGTCTGTGTTTGTTTACTTACTAGCTAAAGTCCACTGCATTCTGTTTATTATAAGAATGTTTGTATTTATATAATTACATTATATAAATCTGTAAAAACATGAACTTTCCCTCTGCACTTCTGTGTTCTTTTTTTCCTGACTGATGTTGTAGCTCGTAGGTTTGCTTCCCCCTGTAACTCTGCAGTTCCTCCTGTGGATTGTTATGCTTGTACGAGGGTTTTTGTGTGAGTCAACATTAATGCATGGGATCATGTTTATCCCTGCAGCGTACAGAGAGTAGTTGTCTTCACAGATCCAGATGTTGAAAGCCTGTCACTGTAAACAAATATTCACAGGATGTCCTCACACGCTGCTGTCAGTATTACCATCTGCTTCTAACTGCCTTTTCCAATGCTTCTCATTGCTTAATTGCTCCCTCTAATAACACAAATATTTTAGTGAAAGTGTAACTGTCCGTGGTGATTAATTGTATGCCTCACATGTTTTTTTTTTAATTACTTTTAGTAAATCATTTTTTATTTTGTGCTGTCACTACCAGCCGTTCGCAGTGTTTCATTCGCTGGCACAGTACAGAGGACAGGGACTTCCTGGATGGGCGAAGATGTGGATTATCCAATGAGAGGTCTGGGCCTGTCCTCTCTGTTCCTGCAGGAGAAGAAAGGTGGACACATTGTTTCCACTATATAGATATTTGTTCCTATAAAGTCAGTAGCTCTCGCAGCTTAACAGACAATCATTGTTTTCCTTCCAGCTCTGGTCAGTGCGGTCAGTGTTGCCGTGGAAGCCATCTTGGCCCAGTTTAGTTCTTCCCGGACCGTTGTTCAGAAGGTCAGTCACTACTGGATTATGTTTTTTTGTGGGTTTTTTTTACATGTTTTTTATGTTTCACTTTCAAGAAGTGATTTTGTACAATGACAATAAAGCATCTATCTATCATCATGCCTCACGATGTGACAAATCTGTCTTTTTCTAAATTTGAGTTCTAGTCTTTAGTGAGGAGTTTATATAACAAAGTTCAGATTGCCCAGTAGGCCTTAGGTTTATACGACTTTAGAATTAACTTGGGAGACAAACTGTGTATGCAAGAGTAATGACAAATCTTTCTGGGAGAAACGAGAGAGAAAATACCAGTTAAATAAGTTTTCTAAGATAAGAAGAGGGAGATTTGTTGGCAACCTCTGCACAGTGTGTTAAAAGCTGCCATACACTGAAACAAATCTTTGTGTCGAGAAACATAATTTCCAACTGTATTCATTTGTTTTTCATCTTTTAAATTCTTTCCCATCTCTTTCTTCTTGTCCTGACTCTGCTTGTTTTCCCATCTCTCCTCAGTCTATCTCAGTTAACAAGGTACTAGAACATACTTTTGACGAACCTATCTTGTAGTATTGAGACATTTTAACTAACTCCACCCCCGAATCATTGCTCATCACATCATACTGACCCTCGTTTGCTCGTTTCTCTCAAACTCTCATTTGTGTCCCATTTTCTTCCCCCTCTCTCTCTCCTCCTGTCTGATTCAATCTGCTGCTCTGCCTCTCACTGCACATTTTCTTTCTCACTCTACTCCATTTTCCTCTCCTCTCCACTGCCCTCTTTTTTTTTCTCTCCTCTCAGGCCTTATCAGGAGACAGCACTATAAATCCATCTCTGGGCCGTCTGGTGCTGCAGTGCCTCTGCCCTGCCCTGCACAGCCTGCTGACTGATGGCTTGAAACCCCACCAGAGTGACCTGATTGCGGGCAGGAGGCCAAACTCTGCCTGGGGTCTGGTCCAGGCCTCCACACAGCCAGGTAGCATACAAAGGATCGTAGGAGACTTAGCATTTATAGATTTGGACACTAAAGATACAATATTAGGCAGATTTTTTGTTTGATGGTTTGTTTACCCCCTGGGTGATAAAGAGGAAACCTGGACTTAGTCCCTCTGTCGTTTTTTCCCACACGTCAGCCAATACTTGTTGATTTTAGTGTCTGAAATGCTGAATTAAGCGAACAACCGGATGCAGATATTGATTGGCCTATTAGTCCCAAGTTTCACTGCAATATTTAGCTTCCGGTAGTAAATTTTTCTATTGATCCCTTTCGTCCTCTCCCTCTCTTTGTATATATCTCCTACTCTTTTCTCTCAACCCACTTTTCAAGGTCCAAAAACACAAGCCTTGTTCAACCTTCAAGTTCGAGTCAGAGAGCTGCCTCAGCTCCGGCAGAGCAAGCAAAGGTTCAACGCGTTCCTGCTCGGCCTTCTGAAGTAAGTCTACTTTTGTGTGGTTGACTTTTTTTCCCACAAAACTAAAAAGCTCATGAAGAAAATATAAAGCATATTATGGTTATGGTAGAAAAAGTAAATGGCTTCTATGATAACCACACCAAAACAACTTCAAAAAACCAAACCAAAATCAAAGCCCATATCCATCCTAAAGATACTCACACCTGCCAATCGCACACTCACCGCACACATTCACACCCAGTGAGGAGGGTACAAGAGGAAGAGGGGGAGGATATGGCCCTGCCCACTCAGGGACGCTGTGTCTACGGTCTTCATAGAGTACAACTGATGGAAGAACCAAAATATTTTCTTTGGCCGAAAAAGACAAAAGAGATAACAACCAAATCAACTTTGAGATACAAGTGTCACTTGATATTGATCGCAGAATCTTGTTGTCGGATGTTTAATAGAAGTCGTCTGCTGCTTTCTCTGCCTCATATTCACTTGCTGGTGAAACAGAGCGGGAGGGGCGGGGTGAGCGTGGAGACAGGAGGGTAGGGAGGGGTGAGCTGAGGGATGAAGGAGATGTGTCTGAAGATTGCATTTGTTTTGGTTTAAAAATCTGCTCTGAAAGTCGCATAGAAAGCCCTCTAATTATCACAGTAAGTTACATTACATTTTCTTCAACAAGGTATCCTTTTAGGGATGTTTCTTACAAGCCAGATATGATCTTGCTCCTCAAGCTATCTGATACCAAAAAAACAATTCTCAAATCAGTAGTTAGATAACATTTTTAAAATTTATACCAATACTATATTTTGATTTTCATATATCCTCATTTTTACTTTTCTCTTGATTTTTCTCTTTAGTACGAAGCGTCTTGATTTCTGGCTGTCTCACGTTCAGTCCTGCAGTGGTAAGTTTCCTTTTTTTCCTTATGTATCAATTTTTGTTAGTATAGAAATGTGTAACTGTGATCTCTCTTCCTCTCAGATGTGCTGGAGACATATTACCGTCCCACCTCTTTCATGCGACTGTCGCTGTCTGCATGCCAGCCTCTGTTCGAGGAGCTACTCCTCGTGCTGCAGCCTCTCAGCTTGCTGACATTCAACCTCGACCTGCTCTTCCAGCACCACCATCTAGAGCCAGACAGTCACAGGCCAGAGATCCCCAGCCCACCTTCTCAGGATGCTGGATCAACAGAACAATCCAGAACCACAGGCTGCAGATATATTGAAACCCTGTCAGAGGTCAACTTTGAAAGCCCAGAGCTTAAGGCCGCCAAAGAAACAACATCAGCTCCGATTAATCCAAAGAATGGAGGATCAGGAGAGTCAGCACAGATCAGCGCAGCAACCATAAAGGTTCCTGTCTCTCTGGCACAGACCAGTCCTCAGTTGATGTGGGTACAGGAGAAAGAGATTGGAGCGTTACCTCCTCCTGAAGATGATGAGGACAGCCTTGCCCAGCAGGCTGGACAGGTATTCGCCTGTCTTGCTGTTGAGTTTTTGTCATGTAATATGTTGTTTGATCCTACATGGCTGATATTTTTGTTTTTAATCACAGGTGATCCAGCAAGGATGGGGGGCCGTGATGCGTTTGGGTGGAAGACTGAGCAGGAACCTGTCAGAGCTGAGCCTGACAAAGGATGAAGTTAAGACAGACTTGTCAGATCTGCAGATCCAGACAGAGAGCGACTTTGCTCCGGTCAGCTGTGGTACTCAGGTTCCCTGGGGGCTCGGGCGGCTGTTTGGAGCCTCTAAAAGCCCCAACAGCCCACCAGGAAACACACCACCTACCAGGTGAGCCAACAAATGTTACACTTCTATCTTAAGCTACAGAGAAAGCAAAGAATGCATCTATTACAGTGTTTAGATTGAATTAAAACATAGAAGAAAAAAAAAAAGAAGTTTCCCGGGTACTTGAAAAACCGCGTATTGCATGATTTAAAAGCTAAGGCAGCTTTGTTTATCTAATCTTTTTTCCTCCTTTGTCTGTCTCCGTAGGCGACCCTCTCAGTGGCTTGCTCCTGGTGTCACTGCACTGACCCGAATGGTGAGCAGCAACTCCACCCCACTCTTAAGGAGGGCGGCAGAGCGGCAGATAGAGAGTGAACCAGAGCGGGAGAAAGACATTGATGCACTGGAGATGAAGGACAAACCCAGACCACTCAGGTACAACAGACATAAAGGGTGGTGGAGGGTGGAAGGTGGTGCATTGTTATAAGGAGAGTTGCAGTGTAATTGAGTAGAGACAGGAGTGATCGATAGATTTGTCTATTGCTGTTTCACCTTAAAAATCTGAAACCACAGATACAGTGTTCATTTAACTTGATACATTTGGCATTTTCTATTAGCTTCAAAACAAATACAATTTAATAATATTAGAAGTATGAAACAGTCATTTGAACCTAAAATCTCAGATGACAGTTGCCCACCACAAGGTGGAGCTTTGCTCAGAGGTATAAATGATCTACACGTTCAAATATAAAGACAAGAGACAAAATAAATATCCAATAACATACAGTAGTAAACAATACTTCTGCCCTCTCTCACACATTTATCCAACCAACAGGCATCAAAGACACTTTCAAAACATGAAAAATAAACCTGTAATAAGGAGAGAGAGAAAAACACATGCACAAAAAACAGACATGACATTAATGCAACTACGTCATCGGGCATTCAATCCGACCACATCAAAGACGCCTCTATTCTCTTCTTACCCCAGTGACTGATTCAAATTAGGCTGTTAAATGTGTCTAGATTAATAGAATGTGCAAAATATATATAAATAAACATTGCTAATTTGAACCACTTTGCATTATAAGGTATTGTTGTACTGTAATAATTCTCTGGTTCTTAAGTAGGAGTACAAAAGTTTCAATGAACGTATAAAAAGCATCACATTATAAAGATAACTGAAAGAGTGAATCTCCAAAGATATTCACTTTAAGGCATAGCCAAAACATTTGAATCAGAGCAGCTGGAGAAGGTTAGTTTTCTCAAAAGTGGTATTATAAATCCTGAGATACTGTCAGATATTTTGTCTTTGGTTACAATAACAAGATAAACATCATTAACGGCAAGAGATCATATTTCTTATGTGAAGAGGAGTCTTGTACTCGTTCAAGGATTGCATTGCACTTGAAGTATGTCCATAGACTTGCCAATCTCTAAAAAGCAAATGAGATATCATACTCTATGTTTCTGTAAAACCAAATCAATTTGATGAAAGGAAATTGACATTATAGTAAGATGTTTGGACTTTATCTTCTGGTATTAGTGACATTGATTGACTTGTTGGGAAAGCAATATTTTGGCATACATTTTCAAACTTTGTACAAAGCATGCCTTCATCAATGACCTACCGGTAAGTAAGGCAAAACAAATTGCATTATTACAAAGTCCACAATAAGGTGGATGGTTGAAATACATTATAGAAATCCTCTTATGATACACTTAGTTTTACTGTAGCCTCCTGCAGGGCATCATGTTGTCTCTTTTTTTGACACGTTTTCTTTCCCTCCAAAGAGCACACGTGGGCGTAGGAAGTGCTCCAGTACTCAATATTTGTCTTTGTAAGCCCATAACTGGTGACTCATCAGTTTGACTTCGAACAATCCTGCGATGTGACTCATCAAAGATTTGGCTTCATCACGTGTTGCAGATGACGCTGGTGTAGATGTGGTACAATTGGGCTGAACTGGTCTCTGCTGTGTGTCCTCAGGTCAGTGCGAACGCTGTGTGACCACACTGGAACCGGATCAGAGCTCAGCTTCTGCAAAGGGGAGGAACTTGTGGTGTTAGGAGGAGTCGATCAAGACTGGATCCGCTGTCGTCAGGGAGACATGGAGGGGCTGGTACCTATTGGCTACACCTCCCTCATCATGTGACTTCAGCAACAAAACTGCTGCAAATCAGACAATAAAAAAAATAAAATAATTATAGATATATAGATATATTTAAGGCAAGTATTGAGAGGTTTTGGTGAGGCTCTGCTACTCTGAAAAAGGGATATTTCACACTATCTCTGTATAAGTTTGACTCGAGTGCAAAGTACCATCTGCTCTGCTTCTATGTGCATCAGGAGCTGTGTGCAGCTTTTCCCCCTGTTTCCTAGCATCATCATCCACCCAGTTTGGTAGCATTAAACTAATGTATTTTAACAGCAGGAATGCAGCAGATGGTGTGAAATAATGACTCGAGTCAAACTTAGATCATTTCACACTGGAAGACCTTTGATCTTGGCGTGAAGTATCCCTTTTAAAAATGTCCTTTCCCCCCCCCCGACAATTTCTGCTTCCCTTGTCAGCCACTGATCTGAAAACGATCACAGGGGAAAAACTCAATCAACCGCAAGTAGATTCAAGTGCTGTCCGATGAGCGGCTGCCTGTTGTGAGGAGGCAATGGCCTGAGAGTAGTTACTTAATATCTCGATGCCAGCTGACAGGAGTCGCAGCTCGCAGGTTGTTGGGTGGAGAAGACATGTCTGAGTTCTGGGCCTCAGCTCCTGTTGCATACTGCGTAGTGATGTAGTGAATTGTAGCTGTGTAGATCTGTGTCCTATTGACTTTCACCCCTATTGACCATCTTTATCGCCTGGTTCATGTGTGTTTGACATGTTTCTGCTACTCTATTTGACTGTATAAATATACATAAAAAAAATATATATATATAATATTTAAATTTAGAATAATATTACCAAGATAGATAGAAAGATAGATGATAAAGAGAAAGCAGGTAGTGAATCAAAAAGCAGCAGCCTGAGAGAGTGGATGATTAAAAAACAAATCAGTTACTTCTTTATCTTCACATCTGTAACTTAACATACGGTGGTTGTCATACGCGCAAAAGAAAAAGGTAAACGTGTTTGTTTTAAGTATGAAATCCAGTATCTTCCCTCTTGTGCGCTTTATGTATTGCCATTGTCTTGACATCATATTCAGAGTTATTAGAATTAGCCTCATACCTTTATGCATTGTAATGTGCCATGGATGATTTCAATGAATGCCAGAAAACTTCTATATTTCCCACTCTGTCATTAAAAAAAAAGTTAACATCAGAAAACAGCAATCTGTAGCTAATCTCTCAACCTGCCCATAACCTTAAAGGGCCGGCGGCATGTGTTAAGAGTGCAACTTCACAAAAACAAAAATGCTCAGCTCCTTTTCCAACCATCTTACCTTAAATTGAATGCAGTGACAAAACTCCAGATGTTTGCAATTCATTCATGCTTTTGTAAAGTCTATAGGTTTGATGGCTGGTCTTCACTTCGTACCTCAGCTTCTGTATTTCCCGCCATGTTTGCTCATCATGATCATTGATATTAATGATAGTGGTAGTACAAGTGGTTGTGGTGTAAGTGATCTGTTGATTCTGATGTTGCCCATATGAAATACGTTGCTTTGTTTCATATATTCATTTGTTATTCTCTATAGTATATATTGATGACTATGCATATGGTTCAATGTAAAACTAAAAGCCTTTTTTTTGTATTTGTTTTGCAGTCATAGCTTTGATTTCATGTTTTAATGCAAGTTGACACCTGAAACTTAAAAAAAAAAAAAAAAAAGTTCAAACAAAGGACCCTGACTTTAAGGCTGACACTAAAGGACCTCTGTTTAATTCTGCAGGAAAGTTTCAAAAGTATGATCAATGAGGGAAAGCTTAGTTCTTCAAAGTCTCCACATGTTAGTGTGTTAATGCCATGTAGCATGACATTACTGTCATTTATGGCAAGTGTCTGGTAGCATTAGGTTAAACCAGTGCTCATATCATGTAATAATTATGATCACAATAAATGCCATTAAATGTTATAAATATTATCCAAATAAAGATACAATATCAGTTAACTAATGCTGAAAATTTTAGATGACGTTTAAGTCCAAATGCATTTAATTTATTGGATGTATTTATTTATCTCGAGGTCTCTGAAAGGAAAAGCTCTATCTGACCCATCTAATGTCTCTCTATCTATCTGGGTTCATTATGTATGTTTGTGTGTGTGTGTGTGTGTGTGTGTGTGTGTGTGTGTGTGTGTGTGAGCTTGCACATGGCAGCAGCATAAGTGGCAGTGAAAGCAGAGATGAGGGTGAGCACATCTGCGTGTCTGCACATCCTGCACTTTCACCTGTATGTGTGTAAGTGTAACAATGAGTTCTGTACCTTCTTCCTCCTCTTTCTCTGATGTGTCATGTAGCCTGTAGACATCCCTCTGTGTCCAACTATTGCATAGAGTTCAGTGCCCCTTTAGTGTCAGTCACTGTCCACCTCCTGCATGTGCTTGTTTGTAAATACACCAAATAAAATGATGCATATAAACCAAAGCTGTGCAGCTGTTTTTTGTTTTTTTAGTCACAGAAAAAGGCCTTATTCAGCAGAGTATTATATGTAAAGTAGTCCTGGAAAAAGATAGGTGACGATTCACTCAAAAAACGTCCTACTTCAAGAAAATGACTTGTGTTTGTTGCAACCAAAATGTGACAGGAAACTTCCTACATGTGCTGCACTGCAAAGGAAGTGAGGCCTTCTCTAAAATACTGTAATACCAACTACATACCCCCCTCTGTAAGTTCATGGAAGAAAACTTCTCCCACTTTTTGTGCCTCTGATGTAACGATCCCAGGATGCCTTTGGATGCTGTGTAGGGCAGAAAGAGGACAAATCTCCAGAGAGAGAGATGTGCATCCACCCCCCATCTTGTAACAGTGTTTCTTTGATAGCGTCCTTCATTGTGGGTCATTGTGGAGGACAACACAGTGCCAGATATACAATCTAATACCACTAGATAGCACTGTTTGTTAAAGCTAATTAAAATCACTGCAGTAACCTCCAAAACACACGCACACATGAAGCAAGATTAAGCCTGGACACTGCTAAATGAAGAGTCCGCAGGGTTTAGCACTAGTAGACATAAAATGCTTTTATTATTGTGGTTATAGAGGCAAAAAAGTTTGATCTGACATTCTATGGCGTTGAGTTATATCCGTTTTTGAACGTTTTGTTTTTCAGAAGCACGTTATCAGAGGCAACAGGCAAAGGTTACATTTCATGCAAACTAGATAAATAACTCTTTATGTGTACCTTTGCTATAAAGTTAATCATCCACTGGCAATAATGTAGTGCTCTTAGTTAAAAAAAGGAAAGAGGAAAAATATACATGCAGTATGTAAACAGTCAAAGAAATTGCACTTTCTCGCCTCGTTATTTGAAGCCACACTACTGATAGAGAGCAGAAGTTTAACACTGGAAAAAAAAAAACTAAGTCACTGTCACTGATTGTCTGACCAATATAAAAACAAAAAGGTACGCTCGGCTAAAAAAGAAGACAAATTACGTCATTCTACAAAAAAAAAATCCTATACAATCATAGTCCATTTCAAGGAGAAATGACTGGAATATTGGTCAGCTTTATTATCTGTTAAAAAAATGTTAGTAAAATGACAGGTCTGATATGATGCTGATATGAAGTATACTCGCGATAATATTGACATGTATGATAGTCATTTTACACGCTACTGCTGATAGAAGGAAAACAGGTCTCTCTCTCTCTCTATGTACATTCACATGAAACTAAACGCTTATGCTTACTTCCACTGGATTAGCCCAATGCTTCTTATAGGAGAACAACCTACTATGCAACTGTACATAAAAATAACCTCCAATCCTCGAATATTCACAACTATAAAAAAAAAAACACAACAAAGGAAGTCTTTATATAGTCCTTATCAGAGGAGATATTGCTTTAAAAGACTGCATGAGTTCGCTTAGTTACGTACACAACAACAACATGGCACTTCTACAGAGCATTTGGGGCAAATTAATTCTACTTTACATTCCCTTTCCTCTCCGGTTTCTCCCCCCCCACCCCACACCAAGGACATTCTGATTGTCAATGCTCCAGAGCAAAGAGCGAAACATTCTCAAAGGCAGTCCGAAGTAAACAAAACACTTTTTTTTTAACCCCTTCTCAAGGAAGCAATACTGAAAATAGTCAATAAACATTCCTCTCATGAATATACTTTGTCTATTTCTTTAGCAGATAGTACTCAAGCTGTTTTTTTTTTTCAAAAATAACTTCTTTCTTAAAACCTCATTAGAAATTCTCTTGCAGCAATGCCAAAATTCCTATCACTAAGCCCACCCCCCTCTCTCCCTCCCCAGCCTATTCACTGGTACATAGCAGACACTGTCTTGGTAAAGTGAAGAAAACCCCCCTAACACTGTCTCAACAGCTTTTTAACTGGTTCACTCCTCCTCGTGTCATTTTCCCAAAGGTGCAGTGTGACTTTGAAAGCTTAACAATTAAAAGAGGGTTCAATCCTGACCTACTTAGGGCTACATTTTTGTTCCCCCGGGCGTATTTTGGTGAACTCCTCGTCTCTTGGAAACTTCAGAGCTGAAATGCTGAGTACCATTTATGTCCACTTTCCAAGCAAAGTTGTGTCTCTTCCAGTTTACTTAAGGTGCCGAAGTAAGAGCAATCAAAGTGTATGCCTGTGTGTTTTTAAAGTGAGTCCACTTAGCATACATACAGTCTTTAGTGTGCTTGTTCATCCAGCACTAGTGCAAATTCCTTTCAGCTGGTCTGTTTCTTTCTGTTTCATCCGGGACGGTCTATCTCTCATCATCCCTCGCCGCTTGGACAAAGGATGTGTTGCCATGGTTTCATCCTTGATGTGATGCCCTTCAGAGCACTAGGTTCGACACACTCATCTGTCAGTGTGCAGGATGTCTTTCTTGCTTTTTCAGCCTCCATAATTCTCCAGTTCTTGTCTCCCTTCCTTTTCTCACTTGTTCTCTGAGGCAGTACCACTGTTAAGAGCAGTGTTGTGGCATCACTTCCTGTCCATCTGTCCAGCGGTAGGCCATGTCCCTTCTTCAGAGCGGTCCCACCTGCATAAGAACGAAATACAATCAACAAAACCACGCATACTTCTCAAAGGCAAACAATA